ACACTGCAATTCTACGTGGAAACTTCATAAAAATTGCAGCCAAGATCCAGTGAGACTCGTCCAAGTTAATAGGAATAAAGATAAGTTCCTTTTTGAAAATTTCTATTCGTTTTGTCCAACGTATAACGGAAGAATAATCGTATCTGCCAGTTTCCGTCAACTTTGTATAAAAAAAAGATGGAAGAGAAAATATACGAGGGAATTTATTGTTCAAATAAGAAAGATAGGCATTAATATGATCAGAAGAAAGCCATATCTCTTTATCACACAAATCATATAATTTTCTAACTGTCAAAGATTCAGAATTAATATAGATAACGCTTTTGTTATCATTATCATTTTGGTCTTTCAAATACTCAAGTACTTCTTCTCGGCTGTCTTTCTTGTATTTAAAAATTTCAGGGTATTTTTCTTCTAATTTGTTCCATGATGTTAATCGACGTCTAACATTTGGTTTTTCATTTTTCTTTGGGCTTTAATTAATTTTAAATAGGATTATTTTTAGAAAAAAAAATTGAAAACTAAATTGAGTCTCACCTTCCACGATCTGAGGATCTCAATTGATATTTATGATTTGGTTGACTGCTCTCCATTATGGCTGTTTTATTTGTCAATGAATCAAAATTCGTCAACTTAATTTTTTCAGCCTTAACTATTAAAAAGGTAATTATAGAAATTATGGTCAATTTTTTTTTTGAGTTTTTTACGCGCTTATTTTATATCTTCCGACACTTTTCACCACACGTGACCTCATTCAACCACCATTAATGTTTGCAAATAAGGTGAAAACGTAGAGTGTGTGTGACAAATTAGTAAAATATTTGTTATATTTCAGCGACTTGGTTTGAATAATTTGTCACCGTGTATGCCACACTTAAATTTGCGACGCCACACTTAAATGCCATAACGCTGGCAAAAATCATGTGAGCGTAAAATTTTGTTGGTGATTCATATAAACTGTGCTGTATGATAACAACCAATCATATTTTATTGTGCGATAAATATAAAAGCGTACAATGAGTTATGATTGGCTAAAACACTTTCGTCTATGTGATGTGTAGTCCAACTTGTTGAGTGATCGTAATCTCGAATTATTAAAATGCTTTATAGGTACAAATTTTGGATCGCTTTACTGTTAATATATACGGTTTTTGTAGGTGCAGATGAGCATTCCCACTTGGTACGTTGCTTCTTTACTTATGTTAAAGATCTACAAAAAAAGCAATATGTATATATATTCATTTATACTTTAATACTCAAAACATAGTATGAAGACGGTGAGGATGTAGTAATATGGGTCAATACTGTAGGTCCACGCTCGAATCGACAAGAAACATACGAGTATTTTCAATTACCATACTGTAAGGGAATTCACGTTGCTGGTAATTAGAAATTTATAGAACCGATGTATTTATGTTCTATTTTAATGTTATGTTATTCCTTTTTTAGAACATCATCATGAAACGTTAGGCGAAGCATTATTGGGTACGTACATGTTATATGGGATTACGCAAACTACGCAGAGTATGGAACGTGACTAATTTATGTTTAGAAATTAATAGATTTGATGATGGATTATTAGTGATAAAATATTTCTTTTCTAATTTTTCTTAGGTATGGAGCTGGTGAATTCTGGGATTGGTATGAAGTTTCTTAGTGAGTGTCTTTATTTCCTTTTAATTTGTGAAAATATTATCTGGTAAAATTAGAGAGGAGTCTTCAATTGTTTTTTATTGAATCTCTTAATAAGAAGACAAATTGTAGGAAAAAGAAATTACCGATTGTCCTATTCATAGAGGATGTTAAAACTATTTATCAAGCAATTTCAGCTGGTGCATGTCTTTATCAATATAAAAATTTGAATAATTTCCCAATTATTATATAGAATAGTTTATTTATAAATCTAAATATATATTATGTATTTATGTATTTATGTTATTAATAATGACTTTTTTTTATTATAGTAAACGAACAAAATGCAACTATCTGTGAGAAAGAACTAACAGCAAAAGATGTAAATCTTTTCCGTTACGCTGTTGTTAATAATTATTGGTATCAGATGTTTCTTGGTAATACGACAAATTTGGTTAAATTTATTTGAGATTTACCGCAATTTTTATATTCTAATTTGAATCCTTTAAAATTTCATATAGATGACCTGCCAATATGGGGTAATTTCAAAGTGTGTTTACTTAAATATATTTAAGAGCGTTTCTGATATAATAAATCATTATTGTTGTTATAGGATTTGTTGGTGAATTAGACAGTGTCTCGGGTGATGTGTTTCTATACACGCATAGAGAATTTGAAATGAGTTATAATGATGACAAGGTATCATATTTTAACTTACAATGTTGTAAAACTAACTATTAATATAAAATAATGAATTCAATATGTTATATTAGATTGTTCAAGTGAAGCTTGAAAGTGGAAGTCCTATAAAATTGCATTGGGAGACCAGGGATATCCCATCACGATTTTCATATTCAGTTAAATGGGTTGAAACTCAAGATTCGTTTGATACAAGATTCGATAAACTTTTGGATACTGAATTTTTTGAACATAAGGTATTTAATTTTTTTTTGCGTAGGTATCTGAAATCAAAAAAATATATACGATTTTTTCTTGTACTTGTCGGGATAACTTAATAATTTCTTATTTAAAATAGATTCATTGGTTTTCTATTTTCAATTCGTTTATCATGGTTATTTTTTTAGCGGGTTTTGTCAGCATTATATTACTTCGCATGTTAAAAAAAGACTACGCTAGATATGATAAAGAAGAGTTACTTGGAGATTTGGTAAATTTTATTTTCTTTATTCAATAAGATGCTAGCTGGTTATTGTTTAGTGAGAAAAATAATAATTAATATATGAATGTACTTAATATATATATATTTTTATATATATATATATATACTATGTTAATAATTATTTATAATATTTTTTTGTGTAGGATCATGATTTGGGTGATGAATATGGTTGGAAACAAGTTCACGGTGACGTTTTTCGTGCTCCAAGATCGTTATTGCTCTTTTCAGCATTAGTTGGAACTGGTCACCAATTAGCATGGTTAACGCTTGTTATAATTTTATACACAATAATTGGAAATTTATACGCAGAGTGAATATCGACTCCAAAAATTCAATTTGGATTGAACCGCTGTATGATAATCATTTGGGATTGGGAAATCAAAAAATTTAATGGATATTAATTTAACGATAATTAAAGTACAATCTTTTTTTTTCTTATTAGGCGCGCTACTATTTTGACGGCTTCAATCTTCTTTTATACATTGACTTCAGTGGTTGCTGGTTATACAAGCGCAAGCACTTATTACGTGTACGGAGGTAAATTGGACATTTATTATGCTTAATTTTTAACAATTAATGAATGTTAACATAATTATTATAGGTCGTCATTGGATAAAGAATGTTCTAGTTACGGCTTCTTTATGGCCCGGAATTCTAAGTGTTATCACTATAATAATTAATTCCATTGCCATGTATTATTCTAGTTCACGTGCCATCCCTTTCACGATTATGGTATTATAAAAAACAATTCTATTATTATTGTTATTAGTTATTACTTTTATTAACAGTTTAAATAATTTTAGTTGGCAATGTTTGCAATTTGGTTGTTCCTTGTGTTTCCATTAACATTGCTTGGAACAATTCTTTGTCGTAATTGGGCAAGTCGCCCAAGTTTTCCTTGTCGTGTTAATCCTATTCCTAGACCAATTCCTGAAAAAATTTGGTATATTTATATAATATTTATTATTGCAAGAGATAAAATCATTTAATTTTGATATATAGTAATATAATATAATAATCACTATTATTATTATTTTGGTGTTTTAAACAAAAAATTAGGTATGCAGAACCGCTCATGGTTGTAGCTTTAGGTGGTATTCTTCCTTTTGCGTCGATTTTCATCGAGATTTATTTTATTTTCTCGTCATTTTGGGCATATAAGATTTACTATGTTTATGGATTTATGTTATTTGTTTTCATAATCCTCCTCATAGTAACAGCATGTGTTACCATAGTTAGCACATATATATTGCTTAATGCTGAGGATCATCGATGGTATGTTAGTTATATATGTATTTGTGAATTTAGAACAATCGTTCAAAATTTTCCGTTTACTATTTACAGGCATTGGATGAGCTTTTTGACTTGTGGATCTACTGCAATATATGTTTATTTATATTCTATATATTATTATGTTAATAGAACAAAGTAAGTTTTAATTCCTTTAGACATTTTGAAATTTTTTTTTTTTTTTTTTCTTTAACGATCTTCTATTATCTTATCAGAATGTATGGTCTCTTTCAGACATCATTTTATTTTGGAAACATAGCTATAGTATGTTTTGGATTATTCGTTATGTTGGGTAAGTAGAATAAGATTTTTTTTAAAAAAAAAAAAAATAATAAATCCCTTAATAATCATAATTTAAAATAAACTAGGTACTGTTGGATATTTTGCAGCAAATAAATTTGTTAAAACAATTTACAAAAATGTTAAATTAGATTAGAAGAAAGTTCCTGTATGTTGTTTTGATGTAATACTTATTAATAGATAAAGTATAATGGGGAAAGAAAATACTTAATTATAAATTATTTAAGAATTTTTTATGAAAAATTTTAATGATTAAATTGATTTAGAAAATAATATCAAAGATATTAGAGATGTCCAGTCCTTTCTTTTCCTTCCTTTTTAAATTAAACCCTAGCGTTTCTGTCCTTTACGTCCTTTAATCTATCTATTTTAAAAAAAAAAAAAAAAATTTTTACCAACTTACCTATAATGTATTAATTCATTCTAATGTACTATAAACTATAATAATAATAATAATAATAAAATAAAAACAAAAATAAACAGAGTCTAAAACAATAAAAGTACTTTGATTCAATAAAATACCACAAGTTTTAAATAATAAAATATTGGTTATTAGTAACTGTATAATGAGAAAAGTGTGCAAATGAAAGATGATATATCAAGATTTTAATGCGTGCAATCTAGCTTGCATTTCATCCAATGCCGCGGCAGGTTCCTCCTCTTCTTCTAATCCCGGATTCTGTTAAAAATGGAGGATTGGAACGAATTGAATTAAAACAAACAAAAAAAAAAATTATTAAGTAAAAAGTTATTATATTAAATTCATACCTCTAGTGGTACATTAACAACACTAGCTTCACCAAGTAATCCTTCAAAGAATAAAATAATTAGTTTATAACTTTTTTTATAAAATTTTAATAAATTATTATTATTATTATTATTATTTAATACCATTTGTAACTTCAAATAAAATTTTATTGACTTCTTCATCTGCCTCTTCTTCAATGTCGCTATCTTCCATTAATTCAAATGTATCTTCTAACATTTCATCGATGATACCAGCCTAATCATAAAGGATGTTATTGTTAATTTTATTTTATTTTTTATTTTTGTTATAAATTATTGTTGAATACCTGTCATTACCTTTGTCATTTCCATTGATAATTCCTGCATACCTTTTGATAATTCTGGTAACCTGGCTAACCCATTAACCATTTTCATTATTTCGGTACTTTTTTTTAATGATCCAGATAATTTTAGAGTAGCTATTTTAATATGTTAAAATTTTTTTATTAAGATAATGTTTAATCGATTCTCCCTTATAATTCACGAACCTTACCTGATTGAGTTTGAAGTTGTAATTGAATAGAATTCAATTGTGCTTTACTAGTATATAATCTAGTTTTTTGTCGTCTGGTTCTAACAAGTTCCTTGGCAAATAATTTACAAGCTGGTAAATCTTTTTTTTTAACGTTTTGTTTTAATAATGTTGTAGTTTTTTTTTCTACTTCTTCAAAATCTCTTATCTGTCGATCTAAGGATCGTTGCTGAGTTCTTATTTCTCTTTGCCATTTCTTTACCTTGTATCAAAAATGAACACAAAAAATCATTTAGAAGTTGTAAATAATATAGAGAAAGTTTATTGTGACTCCGAATTACTTTAATAATTACTTTGAAGTATTACCATTTCATCCGGGGTTGGTTTTTTTCCGAAAAACTTTTGTACTGATTCCATAACTTCTATAACGACGAATAAATATAAAAAAGAAAAGTAATAATCGATTTGAATTTTTGATCAACAATAATGTGCGCTCGGACTAATTTATGTTACGCAATAAATGTCGAATGTATTAATTTTTCACATGATTTTTTCCAACTTTTTAATATAAAAAAAATACTTGGGCTTTATTTTTTTTAAAAAAAAAAAAAAAAAAAAAAAAAATCTATGATACTATTTCTATTTAGATTTCTTTTTCTTCTTATTTGGTGGCGAAATTACAACTTTATTTGATTTGATGTTGCTCTGAATCAATTTATTCGCCTTCTTAGATTTCTTTTTAATGCCATCATTTTGATTTAACATAAATTTCTTGTTCTTTAAGGAACTGTTGTCATCATTCAATACACTCTTGTTTTGTCCAAATCCATTGTTATTATTGATGGTATCCATTCCCCTAAGCCTATTCTTTGTCGATCCACCTTCCATAAACAAATCGTCTTCAACGTTCAAACTTTCATTCACTTCGAATATCTCTTGTTCTTCTTTATTTACCAATTTCATTTTTCCATCTTCATCCTGAATCAATGTTTTAGATTTATAATCTATACCTTTAGCGATAAGAATGTCACGTATTTTAGATTTTGGCTTTGAAGAATTAATTTTTTTGAGTGGATCACTCATAGCTGAAGTGATTTCACCTTTAAGTAGTTGATTATGCCCGATCGAACTTTCGCCCGTTCCTTCCGCTTTTTTAACCGGTTTTTCATATTTCAACTTTCTATAATTGTTACTGGTGAAAATCATAGGATACCCTTCCCTTATAAGCACGTGATCGTCAGAAACCTCATCAAAATTTGGGTGAGTAGATAAATAATTTGCAATCCTTTTTAAACTATTCTTCTTACTATCGGACAATGTTTGCCCTGAATCACTAAACCTGAATTCATCGACCTTCTTTAAAGCTTCTTTCTCTGTGACATATTCTTTAAATTCAACGTTCCTGATAATTAAAGGATTATTGTAAAGTTTAACTTGACTCATTGTTTTGTTTTACTGACAAAATTAATCGAGTCGTATTGAGTGTTCAAATATTGAGTTTTTTTATTTTTTATTTTTTATTTTTAATTCTTATAAATAAATCATGAACTATATCACATTAGGAAATCAGGTTGTCGATCTGCGCATACGTCATTTGTTAGAAAATTCAATTTTATTTATTATAAAGTAAAAAAAAGTTATATATTTAAATTAATGAATTAATGAAAAACATTATTACGTTTAAATTTCATTCTTATAAGAATTTTTTTTTTTTTTTAAAAAAAAAAAAAGAAAATATTTACTACATATAGGTTATTTATGAAAGAATTGGACCAGAATGAACGACTTCTGAAGCAGTTTGTTCTTGATAAATTTTGAAATTCTCAATAAAACTTTTAGCTAATGTGTCTCTAGTTTTAACATAATCCTCTTGAGTTCCCTTCCAAGTTCTAGAAGGATGTAAAATTTCTGATGGTACTCCGGTACAAGATTTTGGAATGTTAAGGTTAAAAACTTCATAATTTTCATATTCTGAATTTGCCAATTCACCAGAATGAATAGCATCAATAATAGCTCGAGAATATTTGAGCTTTATACGTTCTCCTACACCATAAGCTCCACCATTCCATCCTGTGTTTATTAACCAAGCATCAGCCTTATGATGTTCCATTTTATCTGCCAACATTTTGGCATATCGATAAGGATGTAATACGAGGAAGGGTTGTCCGAAACATGCAGAGAATGTAGCTTCTGGTTCTGTTACTCCATCTTCAGTACCTGCAATTTTTGCGGTATAACCAGAAATAAAATGATACATAGCTTGTGACGAAGAAAGTTTTGAAACTGGTGGAAGAATTCCATAAGCGTCACATGTCAGTAAAATAATATTCTTTGGATGGCTTGATGAAATACATGGTACTTTAGCATTTGGAATGAATTCAATTGGATAAGCACACCGAGTATTCTCTGTAAGAGAAGAATCATCATAATTGACAATTCTGGTATGTTGATCATAAACAACATTTTCCAAGACTGAACCAAAACGAATGGCATTGAAAATTTCAGGTTCTCTTTCAGCAGATAAGTTAATACATTTCGCGTAACAACCTCCTTCGATGTTAAATATCCCATCATCTGACCAGCAATGTTCATCATCACCAATTAAGAAACGTTTTGGATCAGCAGAAAGTGTAGTTTTTCCGGTACCGGAAAGACCAAAGAAAATTGAAACATCCCCATTGGGACCTTCATTTGCAGATGAATGTAATGATAAAACTTTGTGCTTAATAGGCATCAAGTAATGCATTACGGTGAAGCTAAATTAAATATTAAAAAAGGTGGATATTAAAATAAATAAATAAATAAATGATAAAAAAAAAAAAAAAAAAAAAATCTCTCGTTTGCTTACATTCCCTTTTTCATTTCACCAGCGTATTCGGTTCCAAGAATTACCATTTCGTTCATGTGAAAATTGATTGCAACTGAAGTGGTAGACGTCATACCAGTTGTGTAACGATTTGCCGGGAAAGCACCAGCGTTATAAATAGTGAAATCGGGAGTTCCATAATTTTCGAGTTCTTCCGGGGTGGGACGTATTAACATATTTCGCATAAACAAGGAGTGGTAGGCACGAGCCGAAACCACACGAACCTTGATACGATATTTTGGATCCCATCCGGCAAAACCGTCAAAAACATAGATACGTGAACGAGTATTCAAGTAATCAACCGCACGTTCTCGATTGATGAGGAAAACGTGTTCTGGCAATTTAGTGTTAACAGGTCCCCACTATTAAATCATTATTTGAAACATGGTTTAAATTTTTTGGTTTCTTTCACGTCAAAAAAAAAAAAATAATATATATATATATAAATTTTAGTTCATACTAACCCAAATATCATTGGATGAGCCGGATTCTTCGACAATACGTTTATCTTTTGGGGAACGGCCAGTTTTCATACCAGAAGCCGTTACCAATGCACCAGATGAAGAAATTGCAGAACCAGTTTCATATTTTAAAGCATCCTCATATAATTGAGCAACTGAAGGGTTCCATTGAATAGCTACACGATCATAATCGATATGTGCATTCTCATGAAGTTCTTCTTCGATTCTTGTATGAGTGTGATTTGCGTTAGACATTGGGGTTTTTGTAGAAAAAAATTTATTAGAAGGTTTTATTAAAGCAAGTTGTTTTAATAAACTAGAAGGGGAACAATGTTTAACTTTTGAATTAAATTCACTATTGAAATTATTATTGACTTTAAAATTGAAAGAATTTTTTAAATAAGAAGTTGTAATAAATCTTTTTGAAGTGTTTGTAAAAAGTCGAGTTGAAACTCGGGGTTTATATACAAGATGATGTAAAGAATTCATTGATAAATTAAATAAAATAAATTATCTAGGGAGAAAAAAAAAAAAGTTGTCGCGTTTTAACGGTAGTTGGATAAGGATCAAAAGTTTTAAAATTTTTTAAAGGTAAAAATATTAATATAAATAAATACTATAAAAGTAAATTATAAAACTTGCATGATTGTCGGAAAAGCTCGGCGAGGCTTTGGATTGAGGAAAATCCATTCGTAAATAGAAACCCTACACAGACGATTTGATATGCATGATTTAAAAAGTTGATAAAAGTTCATTGAATAAATTCTCAAGCCATCGTATCATTTCGCCAACTTTGATCAATCATCAAGAACAGTTTTCTCTTCAAGAATCGTATCATTTAAATTATTTTATCCAGATGATTTAAGAATTGATCGACTTTAAGTTCTGGATATTGTGGGGGAAATCCAAAAAACTTTTGTCGGATCGGATCGGATCGGGTAAATTCATAATCGGAACGGAACGGAAGACAACTTTTTGTTACACGCATAATATACGAATAGAAAAATTTAATCGTTTCATAATAAACTCGTTAAAAATAGGAAAAGTTGCTAAAAAAGGTAAAATAATTTTTTAGCCTTTTAACGTTTACACATGATGTAACGTTCCGTCATGCCCCGCATCGTTATTATGTTACCGAAAAAGAATTTTCTTTTGTAATTTTCAAAATAAAGTAATATGGCTTTTCGTGAGAATTATTAAAGAAACTAGAATAATCATAACAATGTAAATTGTTGAACAAAAGATAATTGTTAATGTTTGGATATTTTCCTTATGCGAATAACCATCGAGATATGAAAATGGCCCGTTAGTTGACAATTATTAATAAAATTTGATAAAATAAAAGAAATTATAATAATTATATTAGATAATTTTATTTTTTATATAAAAATATGTCTTATATAATTTTTTATATAATAAAAATTTTAAATTTATACAATTTTATATCTATAAAAATTTTTATCAAATAATTAAATATGATATCATTTTTAATAATCAAGTAATATCATGATGATATAATATTATATTTATACAAAGTTAATATATTATATTTTTTATAAATATTTCATATCTAAATTTACTAATTTTTACAACTTAGTTAATAAATTTTTTTAATATTAATTTACTTTATATCTAATTTTTATGATTAAATATACTAGAATATACTATTACTTAATATAATTTTTTTAATTTCTAAATATACTAAGAAAATTTTTAAGTTTATACAGAATGTTTGAATATATATCATATAACCAATATTTTTTTACTGATATCATACTCCTATTCTTTTAATTTTTACTATTTATTCTAAAAACTTAATGGTATATTACTATATAAAATAATTATATTATATGTTGATATATCACTTAAAATAAATTATACAAATAGTGACCTAAATGATCTAATCACTTTTCAATATTAAAAAATTTATATATGTTTTATAAATTAAAATTATAAATTTTAGTTTAACATATTTATTACGTTTTCCTTTATTAAATTTTATAAAAATTTAATAATTAATTTTATTTTCATTTGCGAAAATAACTGTTTTAACCCTCTGAAGTATAATATTGATTAATTTTCAATAATTTTCAGAAGGGAGATCATCCTATATATCTTTGACATATTCTATAAGTATACTAATCCTAGATAATAGTAATGAGTGACAGTAAACTATTCTTTTCATTTCTAACTAAATATTCTTAATAGGTTTGAAATATGACAACTACATCAGTAAGTCAAGCTTCACAATACCAGCATTTTTAAATGCGATTATGGCAACTTTTGAATGATATGATGTAGCATTATCTTTTTGAAAAATTCTATTATCTTACAGAAAATGTTATATAAGGTATAACAAAATAAATAATAACTTTTAAATTAATAAATATTATAATATAACATAATTCTGGTAAAACAAACTGGCCAGATCATTTAGGCTACCATCTGTAATATTACTATATCTGATTATCATTATAATTTTATTATCACTTTATATCTGATTACTATATTATAATCTGTATATCACCTATAATCTAAATATCATTTTATAATCTAATATCGATGATCTAATCATCACATTATAATCTAATTAATATAGTCTAAATGTCATTATATAATCTATCTTTTCTTTTTATTTGTTATCTCTTTTGTGTTTTGGCTATTTATTTAAACCTTTTCTGCTATTTGTAAGTTAATTGTTATCTAGTTATGAATGCTACCTTATTATTTAATTATTATTCACTCTATAATTTAATTACCTCTCTTTTCTTCTTATTTTAAAGCTATTTACAAGTCAAATTTTTTATTAAGAATACTACTGTTAACATGTAATTCTCACGAATTACAACTGTTAGACGGGGTGTTCGAGCGGTTTATTCTTTTTAATTGAGCAGTAATCTTTAAACAGTTTACAAGTTTTTAACTCAGATGATTTATCAAAATATTTATATTATCACAACGGGTTACGATTCATCAGATTGCTAATAATGTGTATTTGTAAATATTGTATTTATTTACAAGTAAAAATAATACAGTAGCGGTCATAAGTATCCGACCGCCCGAGATCGTCCAAAATTATTATATAACTACCCCTTAAATTTTTCAGAATTATAATATAACACAATACATGATCACCTGTAAATTTATAAGTGTCAATGATACAAAAAAAAAAATTTAGATGATCAT